CTACCTAAGAACTCTAAAAAGCAGAAACAGATTGTGAGGAGAGTCAGAACTTGGACAAGTGACCCATGCCGGGATGGTTTTGCCAGGTTCTTTTGTTTCCTCTGTGTGTCTGTCTGTCTCTCTGCTTTGCATAGAGGGCCGGCTACTGTAGTACAATAGCAAAAGCAGCAGTGGCCGGAGGTGGACCCTGGAAGGACAGAGAACGTGGAGGAAATCCAGGAGGAGAGAGAACCAGAAAAGAGGTCCTTTTACAAAAAAAAAAAAATTTTTTAATTAGAGTATAGCTGCTTTACAGTGTTGTGTTAGTTTCTTGCGTACAGCAAAGTGAATCAGTCATATGTATATATACAGCCCCTCTTTTCTGGATTTCCTTCCCATTTAGGTCACCGGAGAGCACTGAGTAGAATGCCCTGTGCTATACGGCAGGTTCTCACTAGCTGTCTATTTTATATATGGTAGTGTATATAGTGTTAAGTCTTGACCTAACCCCTGAGCGACACATGAGTGGGACAGACCCAGATCAGTACAGCCAAGCTTTGGGACCAAACTCAGGTTTAAACCATGTACAGAAAAACTTTTTAAAATGAGTTTTATGATTTCAGAGACACATCTTTTTAGCCTATTCACTAAATAATGTAAGCTCAGGACAGACCCAAACCACCACTGCAACGCAACAAAGGCTTAGAAAACTGAACTTAGATTTGAATCACTGCATACAAAAGATAAGACGGAACTTGCAGCTTGGACCTGAATTGCCTTCTAAAGCAAAAGCATGAACTGTCTCCAGAGGATTCTATACAGGACCCAAATCTACAACATAATATTCATAATGTCCAGGACATTTTGAAATTACCTAGCATACAAAGAACCAGAAAAATGTGGCCAGTTCTCAAGGGAAAGTAGATGCCGGTTCCAAGGTAACCCAGGTGGCACTAGTGGTAAAGAAACTGCCTGCCACTGCAGGAGACATAAGAGACTTGGGTTCAATCCCTGGGTCAGGAAGATCCCCTGGAGAAGGGCATGCCAACCCATTCCAGTATTCTTGCCTGAAGAATCCCACGGACAGAGGAGCCTGGCAGGCTATAGTCCACAGGGTCACAAAGTTGGACATGACTGAAGCAACTTAGCATGAACCAAGGTAACCCATGTGTTGGAATTACCAAAGACTTCAAAGGAGATGTGATAACCGTGTTCCATCAGGTTAAAAATATATTGGAAATGATTAAAAGGATAGAAGTTCTCAACAGAGAAATAAAACTATAAAAAAGAACCAGATGGAAATGTTAGAACTGAAAAATTCAAAATCTGAAATTGAAAAATTCACTGGATGATTTCAGTAGCAGATTGGTGATGACCAGAGGAAAAACCTGTAAACTTGAAGAAATCAATGGAAATTACACAATCTGAGGAACANGTTATAACCAGAATTTCCCAGTACAACTGACACAAGAAGAACTCTAAATTTATGTTTTAAATGTGACAGTAGTACCAGGGAAAAGGTTTTGGCTCTGTTGCTGCTAAGTAATCACCTATCACTGTAATTCACAGTGGTATTATTTCTCAGTCATTAGTCAAGCACCTTCTTTTTCAGCACATTTGTTTTGAGACGCTGTGCTTCAGTATACTGAAGATGCACTTGGAACTGGGGATCCTTAGGTTCAATTCCTAGTTCTGCCATTTATTTGCTATGTGATCCTGGAAAAATTATAGAACCTCTCAGAGCTTCAGTTCCTCATGTGTAAAAATTATGTAAAGAGTATATGAGGCAGTATGTGGGTAGCTTCTTTACCACTAGCTTGACCTCAGAAGCCCGAGGCTATGTTAAGTACCTAATCAAGTGGCTCCGATTGAGTAGCCAATCAATCAGTGATGGTTATTATTAAGGGCAAAAATCCTGTCATCCCCTGGTTGCCCTTAATCAGAACACTTGAAACCATTCCGCACATTTTGGGGGCAATAAGTGAGGAGGGAACCCCTTTCAGATCGTTGGCCTGGGGCTTGCTGCCTTTGACTACTGCTCTGATGATTTACTGGCTTCCCCAGTAGTTCAGTGGTAAAAGAATCTGCCTGCCAACGCAAGAGACACAGGAGACACAAGCTCAACTCCTGGGTTGGCAAGGCCCCCCAGAGAAGGAAATAGCAACTTACTCCAGTGTTCTTGACTGGGAAATCCCATGAACAGAGAAGCCTGGCAAGCTACAGTCCCTGGGGTCTCAAAGAGTCCGACAGGACTGAGTGACTAAACAACAAACAATACTGCTGATCGTTGCCAAAACAATCATTATCTCTGCACTCACCCGGAGGATGTCACCCTGGGTTGCAACAGGGGAGCTGGAATGTGCGCCTGCCTGACGCCCTCTGCTTGCAGTGGTACGCACCCCCTCTCACCCCCACTCCCAGCATCTATCACTGACACCCTGCTGGGTAAGACAGCAGACTTTTCTTAGATTTATGCTTTCCCTTTATCTCCACAGCCTGCATCCTGGTCTTTATCACTGATCTTCACTCACCTTGTTCCAGTTCTTTCTACACAAATGACCAGGACAACCTTCCTTAAACTCTAAGTTTAGTGTTTAATGACCCCTTTGAGGAATTTTAGCGATAAAATGTGCTGACCTGTGAGATTTTGTGTCTACCCATATCAGTATTTTATTTCTACACCAAAATTTTCTGGAGAGTCTCAAAAGGTTTTGAAGATATTGATCAGTATCTTATTTGGTATTTATAATGCCCTATTTATCATTAACAACTTCCTCAGATCAGTTTAGTTCAGTTGCTCATTGTGTCCGATGCTTTGTAACCCCGTGGCAAAGCATACCAGCATACCAGGCTTCCCTGTCTATTACCAACTCCTGAAGCTTGCTCAAACTCATGTCCATCGAGTCAGTGATGCCATCCAACCATCTCATCCTCTGATGTCCCCTTCTCCTCCTGCCTTCAATCTTTCCCAGCATCAGGGTCTTTTCCAATGAGTCAACACTTCACGTGAGGTGGCAAAAGTATTAGAGCTTTAGCTTCAGCATCAGTCCTTCCAATGAATATTCAGGACTGATTTCCTTTAGTCTTGACGAGTTTGATCTCCTTGCAGTCCAAGGGACTCTCAAGAGTCTTCTCCAGCACCACAATTTGAAAGCATCAATTCTTTAGTGCTCAGCCTTCTTTATGGTCCAACTTTCACATCCATACATGACTACTGGAAAAACCATAACTCTGATTATGTGGGCCTTTTTCAGCAAAGTAATGTCTCTGCTTTTTAATATGCAGTTTAGGTTTGTCATAGCCTTTTTTCCAAAGAGAAAGTGTCTTTAAATTTCATGGCTGCAGTCACCATCTGCAGTGATTTTGGAGCCCCCCAAAATAAAATCTGTCACCATTTCCATGGTTTCCCCACCTATTTGCCATGAAGTGATGGGATCAGCTGCCATGATCTTAGATTTTTGGTGGACCATGTACTTTACAGTGTATATAAATTAGACCTTGATGACATTGATTTTTTAAAAAAATGACTGTTGCTGCTGCTGCTAAGTCACTTCAGTTGTGTCCAACTCTGTGCGACTCCATAGACAGAAGCCCACCAGGCTCCCCTGTCCCTGGGATTCTCCAGGCAAGAACACTGGAGTCGGTTGCCATTTCCTTCTCCAATGCCTTAAAGTGAAAAGTGAAAGGGAAGTTGCTCAGTCATGTCCGACTCTTGGCGACCTCACATACTGCAGCCTACCAAGCCTCTGTCCATGGGATTTTCCAGGCAAGAGTACTGGAGAGGGGTGCCATTGCCTTCTCCATAAAGATGACTATATAACATGAATTAAAGTTTTTATCAAACTAAAGAGATCAAAACAATATGGCATCGGTACCAAGGGATTCAAAGAGAAGGACAGAACAATAATTTCAAGAAACTGACTTGAGTTTGAAACAGTTAAGAATTTAGAATGCTTTGGTGTTTTAATCAGGTTGAGAGAGAAATGATGTATTCATAAATGATGTTGAGTCAACTGACTAACCATTCAAAATATAAAAATTCGAGCCTTATCTGTTACCACTTACAAAAAATAAATTCCATATGGATTCAGGAATTAAGTCTGTCTATTAAAAGAGAAAAGCTGACAGAGAGATGGGGGAGCCCTGCCTGGGCCTAGGGGTCCACTGAGTCACCCTTTGCTTGGAATCTCCCACTGGGTAAACCTGTGGTCCTGGAGACGCCCAGGCCTTGTGCCCCTCACCTCCACCCCATGGTGGGCTGGGGATCTCCTGTCTTGAGCCCTGAGGCTAAAGACTAACTCTGAAGTCCGCTTCTCCAGGCTGTCCTAGTGCTAAGGCTCATGTCTCCAATCTGTACAGTGGTCTAATAGTGATGCTCTTTGCAGCTTGAAAGTCTGTAGAGAGGACTGTGTGCGAATCACTCAGTGGGGTAAGACACTAGGCGAGTGATGACTAGCGCCCGTCTCTTCTCTCTGAGCAGGAGCACCAGGCTGGGGAAAGAAGCTGGGGCTGCTGGCTCTGTGGGAGAGGGTAGACGTTCGGCACAATCAGTCCTCGCACGGCCGTCTCACTTCGTGCTCACTAGTGACCAGGGAAGCACAACAGAGGAGGGGCCACAGAGATGGAGACCAGAGATCCAGGCCTTGGCTTCACTCCCGAGGAGCCTGAGGCGTCCAGGTAAGGAGAGGTGCAGATGGCCCCAGGCAGCAGAACAGGTGCTTGAGACCCCTCCTCACCTTCTGCCGGAGGCCCCGGGGGTCTCTGTGAGTCTCTGGCCACAAGTCTCCCGGTGAATTCACTGGCCCCGTCGTGGAGAACTGATCTGATTTCTGAAAAATGCCTGCCTGCCCTTTGTCCCCCTGAGTCTCTGGGAAGGCTCTGGATTCAGCTGAATTAAGAGGCAGGTGATGATCACAGGTGTTGGGTGCTTGGGCAGGAGTTTCCATGGTAACAGAGCCATCTGGCTTTTTTGCCTGGCACCAGGCCTTATGACTTCATGATGGAATCTTCTCTACTAGGCAGCGAGGTTTCCCAGGGGGAAGAGGAGGCCAGGAGGAAGGGACCTGCCGAGGAGGCTTTGTCTTTTCACCCAGAGTTTGAAGATGAAGCTTGATCTTGTCATGACTCAGGGCTGCTGCTGACTGCAATGGCCGCTGGAGGTGGCATCCCGGGGGAGATAGTGTAAACAGCATTGTGCACTGGCCACCTTTGGCTGAGCCCCCTGGAGAGGTGGTGGAGGCAACTCTGACCTGCTTCAGTCCAGGTTGGCTGGTGGAGTGGAGCCAGGACCCAGGTGGAAAAGACTGAGGTCTGGGAGAGCTGTTGGCCCACCACTGGGAGGTCCACACTGGGCCAGCACCACCACATGGCAGGAAGGGTAAGGCCTAGGTGAGCCCAGCCCACAGAGGGGCCCACGGTCACGGCGATGGGCCTCTCCCCACAAGCTGCTCGCCAGAGAGCCCTGCCAGTCTTCATCCTTGTGTCAGAGCCCTTCATCCACACAGCCATCCATCCAACCAACCTGTGTGAGGTAGTGTCCTAGGGCTGCTGAGATAAGTCACTGCAAACAGGGTGATTCACACAGTGCAAACTGATTCTCTCACAGTTCAGAAGGTCAGGAGCCAAAATCAAGTTGTGGGCTGGGTCCTCTTTCAGGGCTCAGAGGGGGAATCTGTTCCTTGCCCCTCTCCTAGCTTCTGGTGGCTGCTGGCGATCCTTGGCATTTCTTGGCTTGTGTCAGCATTGCTCCAATCTCTGCCTCTGTTGTCACGTGGCATTCTCCCTGTGTCTGTGTCCAAATGTTCTTCATCTTATAAGGACACCAGTCATTGGATTTGGAGTCCACTCTAATCTAGGATGACCTCATCATAACTGGATTCCATTTGCAAAGAGCCAATTTCTAAGTGAGGTCTCATTCACAGTTACCAGGGGTTAGGACCTCCTATCTTACAGGGGACATGGTTCAACTCTCAAAACCACGTAAGTCACAGTGAAAAGGCTTCAGAGGAGGGCAGACTCAGGTTCAGACCCCGGCACCACTGCTAGTCTGTCCTGTTTTCTTGACCCAGTAAAGCTGGAAAGGCATATCTGTCCTCATATGCTTCTAAGGACTCCCAGAGAGGAGTGCCTGTGGGGTTTGGGGAGTGGCAGAAACTCAGCAAAGGTGGCTTGAGTGGGACATGTGGGACTCAGAGGAGGGCCTGGTCCCCTGTCTCCAGGAGCTCATGGTCAGCAGGGTAGCAGGCACTGACCAAGGGTTAAGACTTGAGACGGGGACCTTGTGCTCAAACTGTACACAGGAGTTGGGGCAAGCATGGACCATGTGGCCTGTGGCAGAAGGTGGCACTCCAGGCCCAGAGGCCCCATCAAAGATCAACAGGGCCAGAACACAGTAGGTCCCCCCTGTGTGACCCAGAAGCCACATGTGCAATCCATGGACCCCACTATATACCCATGATCCTGACAAAGGTGGAACATGGGCTGGCTTTTCACTGACAGGTGCTCTGGGTACCTCTGTCCCCTCAGGGCCTGGACAGTAATTCCTCATTCTCCACCCCACCCAACCCTAAGACATGGCTTCTCCCTCCTGGTGACATTGAGTCTGGTAAAGACTTTTTTCCTGGCCAAGCCCAGTTCAGCGTTCTTTCTTTCTTCCTCTTTCTTTCACTTCAACCTTCCTTTTATTCTTTCATTATTTGGTATCTACTGTATGTCAGGGCTGTTGTAGACTCCCAAGAATATAGAAGACAGATGGGCCTTGCCTAGGTGGAATTTATAAACAGGGAGATGAAAGGCATTAATCAAGTAATCATGCAGATGAATGTTGCACAGCAGAGGAATGGATGCTCTAAATGAGAAGTCCCAGGGTGGTGGGAGTCAATGGTAGAGCAAAACAACCCAGCCGGGAGTTAGGGAAGAGACCCTAGGCCAGGAGCTGGAGCTGGTTGTCAACTAGGGGAAAGGAGAAGGGGGAGAATCCTGGCAGGAGCATTAGCACATGCAGAGGCCCTGTGGCAAGAGGATGATTGGCAAGTAAGAAGGACCTAGGAAAGGTCTGCATGGCTGGAGTGGACAGAGTGTAGGGCATGTGTGTCTCAAGGAGGCATTTGCACACCATGTTCATTAGCATTATTCAAACCAGCCCAGAGGTAGAGCAACCCAGTGTCCCTTCATGGATGATGGATAAACAAAATGGGATCCATCCACGCAATGGCATGTGACTCAGCCTTAAACAGGAAGGACAGCCTGCCACCTGCTCCAACAGGGATGGACCTTGAGCAGATGAGCCAGTCCCCAGAGAATAAGCACCATTAAGATTCCACCTACCTGAGGTCCCTGTGTGTGTGCTCAGTCGCTTCAATTGTGTCCTACTCTTTATTACCCTGTGGACTGTAGCCCGCCAGGCTCCTCTATCCATGGGGATTCTCCAGTCAAGAATACCTGGGCGGGGTGCCATGTCCTCCTCCATGGGGCCTTCCCAACCCAGGGATTGAACCCATGTCTCTCAAGTATCCTGCATTGCAGGTGGATTTTTTTTTTTTACCGCACAGCCACTGGAGAAGCCCCTGAGGTCCCTAAGGTCGTCAAATTCATATAAAGTAGCTGGGGGCCAAGAGCTGGCAGGGAGGAGGGGGCAGTCAGTGTTTACTGGGGACAGAGGGTCAGATTTACAAGGTGAGTGATGGAGATGATGGTGGTTAAGTGTGTCCCACCAGCCTTAGAGGTGGTCTACATGGTGTGAAGTTCATGTTGAGTGTGTTTTATCACAGTGAAAAGATGGGAGGGAAGCCCAAGGTGGATCTCTCAGGTGGGTCATAGGTGAGCACAGGCTTTGTCCGAGGCTCAGCCGCACCCCCTGTCCCTCTCACTAGACTTCAACCCTCACTCCAGAACTGTCACCGCCGGCCACTCACCAATCCCTGCCGGCCCCTGGGTGGCATGGACTGGCCTAGGGCAGCAGGCGGTGAGCCTGAAACAAAGCCATGAGAGCTTCCCCCAGGGGCCCGGGCTCCTGCAGGGTATCCAGACCGTGATCCTGGAGGCACTCAGACCACAAACCAGTATTATCAGGATATCTGGGAGGAGTGCACATGATGAGATTTCTCTAGAGGAGAGTCAGGCACCTGGGAGACTCAGAACTCTGGGCGACGGGGCCGGGGCGGGGGTCCCACAGCCCACTGTGCAGCCTGTCGGGTCCCCTTTGCTTAGCACATGTGCATGTGTGCTAAGTCTCTTCAGTCAAGTCCGACTCTTTGCAACCCCATGAACAGTAGCCTACCAGGCTCCTCTCTCCATGGAGATTCTCCAGGCAAGAATACTGGAGTGGGTTGCCATGCCCTCCTTCAGGGCATCTTCCCTACTCAGGAATCGACCTCACCTGTGTCTCCTGTGGTTCCTGCACTGCAGGCAGATTTTTAACCACTGAGCCATTGAGGAAGCCCATGGGGCATATGAGATGCACTGAAAGTTAGCAGGTTAGACCCATCACTTATTGGAAAAGTATCAGTGAGTGAAACAAGACCGCTCACACATGGAGTAGGCAGATCACTGCCCAAGAAAAGTGTTTCAGTTCTGAAGTGAAGGGCAAAGTGATCCAGAGTCAGCTGGCAGGGTGGGAGTTGGGAAAGCTCCTCTGAGCTAAGAGTCTAAGAGCAGATTTGGGCTCTGAAGCAGGACCTACTTGCTATGACTGAGGAAGGACAAAAGGCTGACTAGTGTATCCAGGAGGGAGAAGGAGCCACTTCTCCTGCAGTGAGACTGCAGGTGTCAGCAGGCTGGGTGCCCTGAGGCTTGTGGGTAATCTGACCCTGGCTGGGAGCCACCCTGGGTTTTAACCAAGCAGAGCCACATTTGGAAAACCCCTCTAGCCTCCAGTGTTGGCAGGAGCAGGGGAGGGAAAGCTGGAGAGGCTAAGGGATTTGGGTGCCATGACAGATGGAACACCCTTCTCTTCCCAGACATCCCAGGAGAGCTGCAAGGCTGAGCCCAGAGTCTTGTCCTCTCCAAGGCTCCTGGAGGACAACCCAGAGCCCCCATCCCAGCAACTACAGGGCACCAGTTCAGGGGGCAGCCAGTCCCTCGGCAACCCTGACCTCTCCCATGGGCCCCTGGTGGCCCTGGAGTACCTGCCCTTCTTCCGCACCTACGGGCAGCTCCTGGCTGAGGAGGAGTTGGCCCCACAGCCTGAGGTCTTCAGGGACCAAGGAGGAGACCAGAGTGTCAGAGAGGAGGACTCAGAGCTGCCCGGCGGCTTCTTCCCTTACTATCGCTCCAAGGAGGAGAGTTTCCCCAGCCTGGCCCTTCCTGGCCGGTCATGGGCAGGCTCCCATGACCCTCCCACCAGGAGAGAGGTGCCAGCCTGCTGCACAATGACAATCATCAATGACTGCTCGGTGAGTCAGGGAGACTACAGAGGGTGTGCGGAGCAGCACTGGGTGCCCTGCGGCCCTTCGGACCCCT